TTAATAACGAATACATCGAAAGAATTCATCAAATGTCGTATTCTTCACTTTCTGATAATGGAATGTTGCAGATATTTAGTTTTTTAATAAAATGATTATATGGAACTCTTTAAAACTGTTCCCGCATATTCATGGTCATTTAATTATTTTCACAAATACTGAAATTTACGTAATATAGTATAAAACTCATTGAAAAATTGTCAAGACGACATTTGATAAATTCTTCCTATGTATTCATTATTAAGGGTTTCACTGTATGTAGTGAATGAAAGAATGTAATGTAATATCAATAATATTTCCTAGATGTATTGGTATTTTCGTCTCTCATATTATTGGAAAAATGAAAATTATTTTTAGAAAAAAAATACAAAAATCTGTAGAAAACATCATGTGAGAGTAAATCGTATTCATGAAACAGATTATTGTAAATTACATACAGGGTGACCCACAAAGAATGAGACATTAAGGACGATTTAAAACTTCTTAGATATGACGATTTAAAGGTTTAATTTGGTCGTTGATTTAAAAATTGTCCTCTAAGGGTCTACTACGTGATATTGAAAACAAATATAATTAAGAGTAATAATGCAGGGAACCTTGATCGTAGAATCCAGGTCTCCGAAGTCTCATTCGTTGTGGATAGCCCTGTTATTGCGGCTAAACTATGAAATTGTGAAAAAGTTACCTTTACACAATTTATAGGATCATCGGCTATTTTGGTGGATAATATCGGGGTCCGCTGCTGGTACAGGATATCCCAAGTATCCAAGACACCATCCTGTACAAAGATTGGATATCATTTTTTGGATATAATTTTTTCTAGCCACTCTCCACTTAGTACAGTGTACAGTATACAGCGTACACTGTACAGTGTACAGTTATACAGCGTACACTGTACAGTGTACAGAGTATACAGAGTAGTGTGGCATTGTATAACATTATATAATGTATAAGTGTACACAAAAGTCTACCAGTAAAATGCTTATAATGATTTAACACTTAACCGTTTAGCACTGCACTGCAACGTGGGAAACCTTAGCAAGTGTACAATGTACTGTAACAAGAATTCTGTGACACATTGGGGTACTCTATAGAAAAGTAAAACCGGGACGGTACCCCAAATGAATGATTTCCATCAAGGAGAGAGAATATGAAATAAATGCGAGATTACTGGCCTATAAACCATCATATGACCTAGTATCTCCTGTAGATATAATTTAACCCGTAAGGAAACCATTTTGTTTCCTTAATAGCCTTACAAGAAGAGGACTTATGATTGGAAACATATAACGTTTCAATTTAAAATCAATTTTAGTTTGACGTGGATTTATATCTAACCTTGTCCACATTATGGCACTTTCTTTAATATCTTCTGACCATATTCTCGCACACCAATCTCCGACAGTTAAAAAGTTCTGCAAACACAAATTGATATAAAGTTGTGAACATGTATGCTAAAAGGGGGGGAGACCTTTCTTTACAAATCTTTGTTTTTATTTAGTAAAGCGTCACAAATGTCAAACAATAATATTATTATAATTATTAAGATTTATTTTCACACACAAATCTCAAACAATAAAATATGGTGTAGACTTTTTTTAACAAGTCAAATCTTAGATTTCTACATATTCATTCTTTAATTTTCAAAACATACTAGGCTTTTAGGGCGCTTTCCGCCGCCTTTCCTGTAAATAATTTTAGCTTTTAACTGAAAATCGGCCACTTTAAATCATTTAAAATTTTGGCGGATATATCTATTCAAATTGGCGAAATTTCAAAAAAAAAACTCTAACTATTTTCTAGGAATATTTTTTCTCAATTTTTCATATTCCTGTACAAGAACATTACAACAGTATTCATGTAAAACAATACAACAATCAAAGAGAATAGAATATATATTAGAGGGGAATTTAGAGAATCTCTCGGTATGAATTTTTTCAGTCCCTTTCAGTCTGAAAGGGAGTTCAAAGTGTAAAAATCATGTGAATGTTCACAAATTATATACGCAGTAGAGTACAATAATACAGTATGTTCCCTAGACTATCCATTTCAATTTCGAATTTTTTAAAGCTGTTAATTAAACTTTATAATGAATTAGGTGAATAAAAAGAATAAAAAACAGCATTTGATGAATAGTTATAACGAAAAATCATCGTTTGTAAAGTAAATGGCATAGAGTCTATGTGAAATGATCATTGGTCAATTATGAAACCGGCCTATTTCATAATTTGGTTTTCTTTTGACATTAATTTTCGATTTTCTATAAAATTATATTCCAGGGCCCAAAAGGTTATATAGCATAAATATGTGAAGTACACCTACAGTATGGAAACAGTACAACAAAATGGCCGTTTTACACTTTTTTCTAGTAAATTCTCAATCTCCTCTAATATCTATTCTATTCTCTTTGACAAAAATACAAGTTTAGAGAAAAATTGAAAATAAAATATCTTTTTAAAATTCTCTTGTAACCTTAGGAAAGCATGGGTTTCTTTCAAGCGCGTAAACAGGCCCAAAATGCGCTTTATAAATTCCAACTATGCGCTCAGAAGAGGTTTTCGCTTTCCTGTTACAAGAAAACACATTTCCTGAAGAAAGAATCTTTTTTAATTTTAAAATGTCTGCGTCACTCTTTAGGCGTAAATTTAAGAGAAATGTCCAACACACAACGGTACCCTATGTTTGATCTAGAATTTGTACTAGAAAACCATGATGCTATAATTTTGAAAACTGGTTATTTTCAATTGTGGGTTTTCTACAAAAGTCACTTGCGCAATTCTGTTGCAGGAAAAAATGTATAAATGATTAGAATTGAACACTTTTCAAACAAGAAAACCTACATTATCTTCAACATTATTGGTAAAAATAGAGGTTGAAAGAGGTCTGCTGCGAATCGGACATGTCACTCTTTAAGTAAAGATTCACATGAAATTACGAGGACATTTCTCTTCAAGATAAAAATTATTCTAGAGAATAAACTATTCTAGGAATTTTACCCATTTCTAAGTTACTTTATTAAAGGTTATAATGTAAGGAAAGTTTTTTCAGATGTGTACGCATCTTTTGTACTGCAGTGTACTGTCTCTGGGCGGTAATGTAAACCAAAGAAGGATGTCACAGCCTGACATGGGATCCATCTTTCACATAAAAAATCAATGAAATATTCTGGTCATGGGAAACTATTATGTGAATTATCAAAATTATCAAAATTCAATGCTTTTAACCTCCTCGGATACTAAACGAACACTGATGCATCTATTCTTGTTTACAAATTCCGAGCAGAGAGAACTGATTTCAATATGAACGCAGAGTTTACGCAACTGCAATAAACTTTCCTTGCATTATAACCTTGACTTTACCCATCAGGACATTCAGATACAGGGCAAATTACTTAAATTTTAAAATGAAATTGAGTTTGAAGAAATGTATATCAAATGTTCAGGAATGAAAAGAAATGTATTTTTAAACATTTTATTGATGTTCATAACATGATTTGAGTCTAAAAGTTGTCTTCCTATGCTAAAGTTTTTTCAACTCACTGTAATTTTACGTAAATTCACCTTGCTCGGTGCCCACCATAAACTTGGTTGGAATAGTTGGTTCATATTCTATACAGCTTGCTCCCTGGGCCTGATAGATAGATAGATAAAGTACATAACTAAAATATACATGTATCTGTGTACAGAATAAGTACATTACTAAAATATACATGTACCTGTGTACAGAACAAGTTTACAATTACAAAGTGTGGCATACTTACATCCAGAATTTTCTTTAATTTTCTGAATTTATGACGGTTTTTTATTTTCCATAATATTATTAACTTAACTTAACTTATTTATCTAACTTAATACCACCTTATTTACCTAACTTAATAATACCTTATTTACTTAACTTACAATACCTTATTTACCTAATTTATTAATACCTTATTTACCAAACTTAATTATACCTTATTTATTTAACATATTAATACTTTATTTACCAAACTTAATTATACCTTATTTATTTAACTTATTAATACTTTATTTACCAAACTTAATAATGCCTTATTTACCTAACTTAATAATACCTTATTTACCTAACTTGATAATACCTTATTTACCTAACTTAATAATACCTTATTTACTTAACTTAATAATACCTTATTTACCTAACTTATTACCACCTTATTTACCAAACTTAATAATACCTTATTTACCAAACTTAATTATACCTTATTTATTTAATATATTAATACTTTATTTACCAAACTTAATTATACCTTATTTATTTAACTTATTAATACTTTATTTACCAAACTTAATGATACCTTATTTACCTTACTTAATGATCCCTTAATTACCTTACTCAATGATCCCTTATTTACCTTACTCAATGATCCCTTATTTACCTTACTCAATGATCCCTTATTTATTTAACTTATTAATACTTTATTTACCAAACTTAATGATACCTTATTTACCTTACTCAATGATCCCTTATTTACCTTACTCAATGATCCCTTATTTACCTTACTCAATGATCCCTTATCCCCACACGGGTCAAGGATTAAGGATTCTAAGGGCTCCACAAACTTCCTGATATCCCACCATAAAACCTAAAAAAACCTAATTAAAAAGTTTTTTTTTGATTTTTTTAAATTAAAATTTTGGTTTCTCCCAACATGAAAATTTTCCTCAAGCAAACTTTTGCCAAAAAATCGAAAAATATGAATTTTCAGATGTGCATAAAAGATTTATTCACTGACCATCCCGTCTGTTGACGCTGTAAAGAACTCTGTCCCTGTTTTACTAGACACCCATTTAGTTTTATAAACAGGCTCAGTGTGGGAGTTATCCAGACTGATTTCACCCTAGAATTAAAACATTTGAAAAAAAGGTTTCATTTTTGAGAAATATAAATTTTGAAAGCAATTGGACTTGATTTTTTGTTAAAACCTAAATAAAATGACTTTTTTGATGTAATTTCTTTTGGTAAATTATAGACAATGTAACTAAGTTTTTTTCATATCTTGAAATTTTATAAATATGGGGTTTTAGTTAGTTTGATTTTTTCTCCATTATATGTTGAAATCAAAATGCAAAAAATTTTAGTGTTAAAAAAAAATTGAAACAAAATTAAATATGATTTTTGGGGGTTTTTCGTTTTCTTGCAATGACAATGTTTTTCTTCACATAGGAAGTTATATATCTTTATATCATTCAAAATGTTTTCAAAAGTTTACCTCTGGTTTTCCACCTTTTCTACCATCCCACCAACATACTTGACCGTTATAACAACCACCTTTACATAATATTAGTTTAAAACATACTTGACCGTTATAACAACCACCTTTACATAATATTAGTTTAAAACATACTTGACCGTTATAACAACCACCTTTACATAATATTAGTTTAAAACATACTTGACCGTTATAACAACCACCTTTACATAATATTAGTTTAAANATTTTCGTTGAATTTATTCGCAGATTTCTTCAAATTCTTCAAATGTCGTCTTTTTTGTAAAAATTCCAGAAAATCTTTGTGATTAAAGAGAATTTACAGAGACTAATAATTGAATATGATTTATTTTCTCAACCTGTTCCTGAACAACTACTAATTAGTTTTACTGTAGAATTTTGTTAACATTTTTGTCGTCGTTATTTAATACTTAAAAAATCAATTCTGAGAACGTATCCACCCAAAAAAGTACGATTTTGAACGTGACTTTGTGCTCAAACTCAGGATTTACAGATCTTTAAAATGTTTTATATGTCTCAAATGAATTCTAAAGAATTTGTCCACAACACTGCATACTCAGTTTAACTACCTTACATAGCCGGTCTGTCCCTTTAAAGCTGACTGCTTTCTTAATCTTAACCTAGCTGGACTTTACACCTATGACTGATTAGCTGTCTTTGAAATACAGTGATATAGATGTTTAGATATCTTAACCATTTGGAAATATTTATGCATTAAATCCAGCCAGGATTATTAAGGAACATAATGGTGGGACTAGGGATATAAAGATTTATAATTTACCTGCTAAAAGATTAACATCCCTGGGACTAAACTCGCTTGAAACCACGTGAAAAGGAGGATTAAGAATAACATCAGGATGGGTTGGATCATCTAAACAAATAATCTAAATTGGATTGTTCAGGGTTTAGAGTTTAGAGTTGTTCATAACATTTAGATTGTTTTTACACATTCAAGTTTATTTTTTAGTTTTTAAGGGCTCCACAAAAATATTAGATGTTATTCTTATTTTAAAATCTATTCTCTAAATTTTTTTTCTTTCATGAAATTGTTACATTGTGCTAAATTTGCATGTCATTATAAGCAAACTAATAGAGCATTTTAATTTATGATTAATATCTAAGAATCTTTGGAAGCCGTCTATCTATCCATATATATGTATATATACTTTGAAGGAAGGTTTATGGATGCTAGGAATAACAAAAATGTGTCTCCAAAAATTGTTTATGTTCGTAATTTTTTTAAATCCACTGACTAGTGACTACCTATATGAAAAATGAATGATGTTTTTGGTGTGCCCGGCTGGATCGCTTGAAATTCAAGGTTGCAGTATGTTATCGCTAACCTAAACAAGATGGCCAGTTCAATTTGCCATAAAAACATTTGCCATAATTACACTTGTCATAACCATGTGTGCCATAAGTAACACTTGCCATTATCAATATATGAATTCTCTCAACCAAAGACTTTGCTATTTAGCAAAGTCTTTGCTCTCAACTATACAGCTCATCTAATGTCTGCTCCTATGTTCCTTGTCTAAATTACGCACTTCCATTTAGAATTCTCAACTCCCTAGCTAGTAAAAGCTAGGGTTTCCAGCGAACCAAACGTTTGCGAAAAAATGCGAAAATTTTCGGTCGCATTTTGCAAACTTTTTCGCGAAAATTTCGCAAAATATTTTCGCGAAATGGGAAAATTTAGCGAACATGCGAAAGGCGCAAATATTTTCGCGAAATGCGAACATTTTGTGAAAACCATGAGTTTTATTGCTGCAACAATTAATTGCCCAATATTGTGGAATTCTCTGCTTAATATTTATAATTTTACTATGTCATATTCAATAATTTCTCTTCCTTTACTTTAATAAATGTTAGATGAAGAGAATTCAATTTCAATAGCTATCTTTTTAGGTTTCTGTCTTCGCATTTTCACATTATTTTTCGCGAAATTTTCGCAATATTTTTTTCGTGAAATTTTCGTATTTTTTTACGAAATTTTCGCGAAATAGAAATTGCAAACGATTTTTCCTTATCGCTGGAAACCCTAGTAAAAGTTAATTCCATTCAATTATTTAAATTTGTCAAGCATAGAGGAAAGAAGCTGTAACGCAGATTTTTGCAGTATTATATGTGAGTATTATTGTGTGTTCCTGATAGATTCTGGAAGATTGTTTCTGCTCTCGCACCTTACCGTTTTAGTTTTAGCGAGTGCCGGCTTTCTTGCCGTTTTCTTTCTTTTTCAAAATCTTTTCAAAATCTTCCAAAATCCACAATGAAACCGTGAGCTGCCCCATAATATTTTTAACAAGCTATTGCTACCCTAGAGCTAAAAGATTGATATAATTTTCTTATTTTTTGCGTAACGTCCTGAAAAACTCAAAAAATGGAGCAAACAATTATAGTTACATGCGTATATTTTTTGATTAAACTACAAAAAACTTTTGCGACTACAGTTAGCAAATCTAAATAAGGGACATCTCATTAGCAATAAGGTACTGCTCTATTGGAAAAGTATTGTATTGTCATTGATTCTTCACCAAGTTCATGTCTAGCGAGGGAGGGAACCCCAGGACGCCTTGAGCCTCCGCTATGCAGACCCGAGCCTCCCAGATTTGCTAGGAAGACCAAGCCTCAGCTATGCAGTAATGAGCATGCGCCGGGTGTTCCCTCCCTCCTCTAGCTCTCACGACTAATTTAATAGAAATCTAAAGTTTGGAATTTTTGAGAAAATTTGGCGCATTTATAAAAAAAGTTAAATTTTTTTTCTTTGTAAGACTTTGAAAATTATGGCAAGTAGTTATGGCAAGTGTATCCACTATGGCAAGTGTATCCACTATGGCAAGTGTATCCACTATGGCAAGTGTATCCACTATGGCAAGTGTATCCACTATGGCAAGTTTAACTTATGGCAATGTTATTATGGCAAATGGCCGGATTTATGGCAAAAGGGTTATGGCAAATGCAATTAAGCCCCTAAACAAACCCTATTTTTAAAAAATTAATATTTTTTAATATTTTTAATAGCAAAAATATATTTTATAATTCACTACTTCACTGATTTACAAAATTTGCATTTTTTCAGACTGTAATAAAGGAATTGGGTCTTTGGAACAAAATCAAATATTTAAACCTCAATATCTTTAGAACTCGATGTTGTAATCCTTTGATATTTCAAAATCAAATTATTTGATTTAACAGAATTCATAGTTTGAAATATCTAAGGTCTGCAACATTTGGTTCCAAAGATATAGTGATTAGAAAATCAGAGTTTGTGGCAAAGACTCAATTCCTTTATCATAAAAAGTCAATATATTTGCTTTCTTTATTTATTTAAACTTTTTTTTTCTTTTTTTCTTCCAAAAGTTGAATATTTACCGTTCTCCATCTGGACACCAAGCTATGCTACTCACTGGACGATTCCATCCGTTACAACTCTCATAATCTCTTAAAGGGACTCTTATTGCAATTTCAAGTTACCTTTCATTTAAAGAAAAGCACAACGGTAACTTTTAAACTTATATTTGCTCAAGAGTGTGTTTTTTAATTCTGACGAATTGCGCATTTTTGTTTCAGAAACAGAGTGGAAAAAATTGTAAGAATTAAACATTTTCAAGCTAGAGAAATAACGAAATCATCACCATTATATACAGACTAAAAGGCATGTCCCCCTCAAAATGGAAAGTGACTTGAAATTACAATCATTTATAAATACAATAATTCATAAAATCGGATTCGATTTTTTTTCTATATATATATTACATTTAATTAATTCAAATAAATTACTTAAAAACTGCTTTGAATTAGATTTTAGAGTTTATGTATACCAACTCTTTGACTTTATTTCAATTGAATTATGGCCATAAAAAGATTAGTCATAAAAATGCATTCAATTTGATTGTATTTTAAATGAACTCACTAAATAGGCTTAAAAAACATCTATATCATTTTCTAAACAAGTATAACAAATATTGGTTTTAAAGGGGTTGTTTCCAAAAATCTATGTAAACAGAAAATTAAACTTGAAAGGGACTGTTCTAGAATTTAAAAATGGAAACCTGAAAAGATTTACAGTTTTCGCTTTAGGTTCCTCGCAGTCTGTAGCCTCGTCAGTTTCAGTAAAATATTCCTAAATTTTGTAACTTTTAAAGGGACTGTAGAGAAATATTAACTGTACCTTCGCCAATAGAGGAGCATGCGAGCATGCCCGATTAACAACGGTGCCCTTATCAGCGTTTTCTGAATTAGATATCTATGTTTGTGGTTTTGAAAACTAATTTTTAAAATTTTTGCTTCAGAATTATCAGAATTAAAAACTTTTCAAAATAGAATAAGGATGTTATCGTCACTATTACTGACCAGACTGAGGTTTATGATGTATTGTTGTGATTTAAAAAAAGGATCGCTCGAAATTTCGACGCTAGTCTCTTTACAGCAGGGTTTCCAACTTTTCAACGCAAGCCCTGTAAACTTCACACAATTCCGTGCAATTCAAGAACAGTTGCGTGCAATTCCGCTGAGTTGCGCGCGATTCCGCGCAACGGAATTCCGATTGGAAACCCTACTTTAAAGGGACTTATTTTGGTTTCCAGGAATTCATTTTTTAAATGGATTGATGATGATGTTTAGAAATTTTAACTTTTGTAAACACTACAACTTTTAGAAGTGAGGGTTATTGGGGTTTCCAGCTCTAGACTTTAATGGAAAGGATCTAGATATTTGGAAAACTTTAAAGAAAATCATTGTGGGGTTAAAATTGAAAACTTAGGAAGAAGGTTATTATGCTATTTGAAACTTAAATTAGAAGGATTATTGATGTTCGAAAGAGAGTGCGTCCTGATTAGATAATTCAATCCTATTTTTTATGTGAATTGAGTTTTTAGTGAAGGTAAAATTGTTAAGAGTGAAACGGGATTCTAAATAAACTGGAATATATTCTATTTATTTAATTAAACAAAATCGTCTGTGACTTCAGAAATAGTTGCGGCATTTATCAAAGGCAACCTAATTTTAGCAATACTTTTTATTGTAGAACAAACTATATTTAAATCATGAAGAAATCTTTAATTTTCTGTTTCTGCTTCGAAAAATTTTCATTGAAAAGGAATTGAGTCTTTGCCACAAATTCAGTTTTTGTAAAACCTATATCTTTGCAACCTTATGGTGTAAATCTTTGATATTTCAAACTTACATTATTTGACCTAATAGCATTCAAAGTTTGAAATATTAAAGATCTGCGACATTGGGTTGCAACGATATTGAAATTAGAAAATCAGAGTTTGTGGCAAAAACTCAATTCCTTTTGAAGAAAAATAAAAAAAATATTGAAAAATCCCACCTCATATATTTCAATGGCATTGTTCTGTTTTATACAACTCTCCATCATCTAAAATAATTGAAAATATTTTTCTAAAATTACTTTTTAAATTTCTCATGTAAATACTGAGAAAATGATATTATTCATAACATTTTTAAAATACTAGGCTTTTGCTTATATTTCAACTTTTAATTGTGGCTTTATCTGTGAGCATCTTCTCTTTGTGCAGTATAAAACAANATAATATTTTTTCGCGCATTTTCAAAATTTTACTAAAATAAAAGACTTTTAAATACAAATTTTTAAAATTTTGATTATTCATAAACCTTCCTTTTGGTGAGGTCCCACACAAAATTTGGGCCCGATTGGTTTAGCCGTATTGACTTTTATTGGAAACAAACAAACAAACTGACAGACAAGCTAAATTTAGATATAGATTTATTTTCACTTTATTTCTTTAATTCGTGCATTTGATGCAGTAAAACTTTATTTTTTTGCAACACATTGTATTGGAATTGTCAAGATCAAATTTAACGCATGCATGTTTTGTATAAATTCAATTTAATCTTTCTTATTGTCGTCATTGATGTCTAATCCTTAGTTGGTTGGATAACTAAAATTTAAATATAATTTGAAATACTTTTTTAAAATGTTGATGCAAAAATACTGACGAAAAATTTAACATTAATGAACTTTAAAAAATTTTATTCCGCCTTATTTCTTTAGTTCATGCACTTGTTTCCGCAGTAAACTTTATTTCATTATAATGGAATTTTCAAGATTAACCATGTAACATTGTACGAACTTATTGTACTTTTTAGTTTCAGATCGTGATTGAAGCCTCATCCTTGATAAATCACAGGATCCCAATGAAGGTTCATGGCAAACCAGAAAAATTTGTCAGCAATTTCGTTTTTTGAAATGTTGAATATCCACCAATGAAAACAGAAAAATCTGCATTATTTTTAATAATATTATTATTTCAAAATGTATGTGCCATAGATCAGTATCAAAAAGCTAAGATTACTACCAGAAACTATATTACTACCAGAAACTTAATTATTACCAGAAACTATATTACTACCAGAAACTTAATTACTACCAGAAACTTAATTATTACCAGAAACTATATTACTACCAGAAACTAGATTACTACCAGAAACTTAATTATTACCAGAAACTAGATTATTACCAGAAACTAGATTATTACCAGAAACTTAATTATTACCAGAAACTATATTACTACCAGAAACTAAATAAACAGGAGGAATTAGACAGGTTGTCCAGGTGTTGATATCATTCATAAACAGGAGGAATTAGACAGGGTGACCAGGGGGTTGATATCCTTAATAAACAGGAGGAATCAGACAGGGTGTCCAGGTGTTGATATCCTTAATAAACAGAACGAATTAGACAGGGTGTCCAGGGGGTTGATATCCTCAATAAACAGGAGGAATTAGACAGGGTGTCCAGGTGTTGATATCCTCAATAAACAGAAGGAATTAGACAGGGTGTCCAGGTGTTGATATCCCCAATAAACAGAAGGAATTAGAAAGGGTGTCCACGTGTTAATATCCTCAATAAACAGAAGGAATTAGACAGAGTGTCCAGAGTGTTGATATCCTCAATTAACAGGAGGAATTAGACAGGGTGTCCAGGTTATCCTCCATAAACAGACAGGGTGACCAGGGGGTTGATATCCTCAATAAACAGGAGTAATTAGACAGGGTGTCCAGGTGTTGATATCCTCCATAAACAGGAGGAATTAGACAGGGTGTCCACGTGTTAATATCCTCAATAAACAGGAGGAATTAGACAGGGTGTCCAGAGTGTTGATATCCTCAATAAACAGGAGGAATTTGATAAGGTGTCCAGGTGTTGATATCCTCAATAAACAGAAGGAATTAGACAGGGTGTCCAGTGGGTTAATACCCTCAATAAACAGAAGGAATTAGACAGGGTGTCCAGGGGGTTGATATCCTCAATAAACAGGAAGAATTAGACAGGGTGTCCATGGGGTTGATATCCTTAATAAACAGGAGGAATTAGACCAGGTGTCAAAAAAAACATGGCGAATAAAATGAGACGACTTTTATATTGCCTTAGTTATTATTATCATTCTTATATATTTTTTTTTTAACAATTGCAATGGTCTATTTAATCATTCCAAACTGAACTTCTACTTTATATGAAAATTTGACGATTTTAGTTAACAAAACCTTTTGTTTACCTTTGGCCAACCTCCCTCACAGTGGTTCATGCCCTGGGACACGAAGTCAGCTCGCACTGTGTTCACCTGTAAATACAGTGGTACACATAATAATGTGGAATATGAGGACTCTAGAAGTAAGCTAATTAAACCAGATCCGACATTTATTAGCTATATTAATTTATTAGCCGTATTTGGGTAAATTTCAATTTTGAACCACTTTGAAAAAGGTTCCTTAAAGGGAGTGTCTAGCTAGACATGGTATAGTGGAGTAATTTTTAGGATTCATTTGAGACCTATGTGACGTTTTACAGTGTATATTTGTTCACCAAGAGCGCAAATTCAATCTTTAAAATCATTGATTGTTCATTTTGGAGGGATGATTTTGAGAATCATGTTTTTAAAAACTATTCAATGACCACCGCGAAAAATGTAACAAAAATTCTACAGTAAACTTATTAGTTGTTTAGGGACAGCTGGAGAAAATAAAAATTGACTCTTATCATCAAAATAAGTAATCTTATACAGTTAATTGTTTCTGAAATGTCGCCTTTTTTCATAAACATTTTCCGTAGATTTTCTTGAATTTTTATTTAAAGGCGACATTTGAAGAAGAAATCTGCGTAAAAATTAAAAAAGAATAAGAAATTCAATATAATGATGACAAAGACATGATTGATTGTAACATTGATTTATGGGCAAATTTCTATTGAGAACTACGTTTCTAAACATCTAATTAGTTTACTGTAGAACTTTTGTTACATATTNCCGACCTTAATGAGACTGTTTACAAATTTGAAATAGAGCATAGACCGTATCAAATCCTCATGAATCTTTATCTTTGAATAGATGATTCAGGATTTGAACAGACGATATAGGTTCAGCGACCTCTCTCTAATTAATTAAATTCTTTTCAAGATATCAAATTCTGTCCCAGATATTCTTATCCGGAATTAATTGGACAATTTACAAATTTAAAATAAAAATGGAGCTTCTCATTTGACCAGGGCAGGCGTTTAAAAAAATCAAGAAAATACGACTCAGGTCTAAGCTGTTGTTGGGCCTTATTTACGGCTTGGGCTTTCGGTTTTAAGTTGCATCTAATTTTCCACAGAGTCGAGTTCATAAAACAGATTTAATATTGTAATAGGCGGATTTTCATAGTTGGAATTGGCGCATTCCGGGTTTTGATGAGAATAAGACTCAACATTGAGCCTTATTTTCCACTAAAACCAACCAAGGTCGGTTTTATTTTCATTGGGCCAAACTCTGCAAGTCAAGCCTAAGATCTTGCAGCTTGACACAAGCGGTCGTCAGAGTTGAGTCTAAGATTGGGTCTTAAAGCTGGGTTTAAGGAATTACGACCCGAGCCGAAGCTTTTAAATCGCGGGCTCAGATATCCTTTATTATCCGGCCTCAAGGGATTGTTCTCAAATATTTTTATCCGGCCAAATATGCTTGATTATACGACCTGAATTGGACTGTTTACAAATTTAGAATAGAGCATGGACCTCATAAATCTTTAAATTTGAGTAGTTGATTTGGGATTTGAACCAGTGGTAGGTAATTCAGTGACCTATCTTCAATTTATTAAATTATTTCTCAGATATTCTTATCCGGCCCTAAGCTTAAAATAAAGAATGGAGCTTCTCATTTGACCAGACATCAGCCTTGAAGGGTGTGTTTCAAAAACTAAATTGAGCTCGGATCCCTTCATCCGACAAGATTTTTTAATTCGGCCTGGAGGTGATTTTTTATAATTAATTTAAATTAAAAATATTTTCTTAAAAAACACCTGTTTGATCTGCGAAGCATGTTGGGCGATTTATTTTTCTGCTTTTCTTGGTGATATCAAGCTTAATATCCAACTCCTTCTCATCCAATTCATCGCTAAATATTGTATAGATCAATACAATGAAGACGAAGTTCAATTCTATTTTTAATTTCTACCTAGCAAGGATACACATAAACATGGAAACAAAGAGAACCTGTCATTTAACAGCTTAATTTTGTTTACTTGTAAACTTTTAATTTGAATAAGGCTTGTCAAAAATCAAAACTTAAAAGAAAGGTCGTCTTCGTTGTATTGATATAAACGCTGACCACTGTGTTTCGTTATTGTTTATTTATTTTATGAAAAATCGTTTCTAAACATTTTCCTTGACTGGAGCTCAAAACTTTTGTGTAAAATAGCGCAAAACTTAATTTTATGAAAAATCGTTTCTAAACATTTTCCTTGACTGGAGCTCAACACTTTTGTGTAAAATAGCGCAAAACTTAACGCTTAATCCACATCCATAGTAACAATTTTAAAATTTGATCGAAAACTGCTTCATTTCTCAATTTTACTTATCCCTCTTGGGTATAACCACCACGGGATATGCAAAAGAAAATAACTTAATCCGTAGGTATGAACAAGACAAGGTTCTCACTATCGAAGCGCTTCAATGTATGAAAAATGTCTTCTCCTAAGTGATGGAAAGTGAAATCCGTATATGACGTCACCGATTTTGGAAAAGCAGGTAAGGAGCCTGATACTTGTGACGTTATTTTATGGATTTTTCTGTCCATTGCTTAGGAGACGACATTTTTCATACCTCAGTTAACAACCTTGGCACGTACGAACAAGATGGAGATCAATGTTTGATCCCGAGATTTACAATACAAGATTATTGATTTCTGTAGGCATAATAATCGGGAGACGACTTTTAGGTGTTAACAATAGAGTGCAGCCGTAGAGATTTTTTAAAATATTTTACCAACTATTTACATTAAAAAGTTTTCTTTTGCATTCTAATCATACTTACTCATCATAATCATCAGAGTCCATTTTACGCTAAAGAAGTTAACAACATTAGAAAGAATTTAAAGTAATTTAAGGTCCATACTTAAAAAATAGGAAATACATGAAAAGTTTGAAAGGTATAGAAATATTTAAAAAATATGTAAGAATAGTAATATTTAGAAATACTATGGATAAATGAGGAATATTTAAGAATATTTTGTACCATTTAGAAATTTCCAGGAAATTTAGGAAAATCTAGAAAGATTTATGAAAATTGTACGAATACTTATAAATTTTTGGAATATCTGTATGCTCCGAACTGAACTGAATATTTAATAGTGTAAATATCTGTATGCCCTGAATTAAACTGAATATTGAATAGTGTGAATATCTGTGTTCTCTGAACTGAACTGAATATTGAATAGTGTGAATATCTGTGTGCTCTGAACTGAACTGAATATTGAATAGTGTGAATATCTGTGTTCTCTGAACTGAATATTGAATAGTGTGAATATCTGTGTTCTCTGAACTGAACTGAATATTGAATAGTGTGAATATCTGTGTGCCCTGAATTGAACTGAATATTGAATAGTGTGAATATCTGTGTTCTCTGAACTGAACTGAATATTGAATAGTGTGAATATCTGTGTGCTAGGAACAAAACTGAATATTGAATAGTGTGAATATCTTTATTCTCTGAACTGAACTGAATATTGAATAGTGTGAATATCTGTGTGCTCTGAACTGAACTGAATATTGAATAGTGTGAATATCTGTGTGCTATGAAATGAACTGAATATTGAATAGTGAGAATATCTGTGTTCTCTGAGCTAAACTGAATATTGAATAGTGTAAATATCTGTGTGCTCTGAACTGAACTGAATATTGAATAGTGTGAATATCTGTGCTCTCTGAACTGAACTGAATATTAAATAGCGTGAATATGTGTGTGCTCTGAACTGAACTGAATATTGAATAGTATGAATATCTGTGTGCTCTGAACTGAACTGAATATTAAATAGTGTAAATATCTGTCTGCCCTGAATTAAACTGAACATTGAATAGTGTGAATATCTGTGTGCTCTGAACTAAACTGAATATTGAATAGTGTGAATATCTTTATTCTCTGAACTGAACTGAATATTGAATGCTGTAAATATCTGTATGCCCCGAATTGAACTGAACATTGAATAGTGTGAATATCTGTGTGCTCTGAACTAAACTGAATATTGAATAGTGTGAATTTCTTTATTCTCTGAACTGAACTGAATATTGAATAGTGTGAATATCTGTGTGCTCTGAACTGAACTAAATATTGAATAGTGTGAATATCTTTATTCTCTGAACTGAACTGAATATTGAATAGTGTGAATATTTCTGCTCTCCAAACTGAGCTGAACTGAATTTTGAATAGTGTGAATATCTGTGTGCTCTGAACTGAACTGAATATTGAATAGTGTGAATATTTGTGTGCTCTGAACTGAACTAAATATTGAATAGTGTGAATATCTGTGTGCTCTGAGTTGAACTGAATATTGAATACTGAATATTTGTGTGCTCTGAACTGAACTGAATATTAAAAAGTGTGAATATCTGTGTGCTCGAAGCTGAACTGAATATTGAATACTGTGAATATTTGTGTGCTCTGAACTGAACTGAATATTGAATAGTGTGAATATCTGTGTTCTCTGAGCTGAACTGAATATTGAATAGTGTGAATATCTGTGTTCTCTGAACTGAACTGAATATTGAATAGTGTGAATATCTGTGTGCTCTGAACTGAACTGAATATTGAATAGTGTGAATATCTGTGTGCTCTGAACTGAACTGAATATTGAAGGAAACACTAAAGATATTGCCTGACTCTGGGAACAATAAAAACAAGAAACAAATAATCCCTCATAAACTCTTTCAGGACCCAGGACCCAGAACTTCACGGATACGGAAGTTCACATTTAGGACCTGTTTTCTGAAACTGCACGCTCTGGACTCAGGATCCGGAACTACAGGACCCAGTATTCGGAACTTCGCATTAAGGACCTAATAACACATGAATAACCACCTGGAGGTCTAATAAGACATAAATGACCACCTAGAGTTCTAATAAGACATAAATAACCACCTAGAGTTCTAATAAGACATTAATGACCACCTAGAGTTCTAATAAGACATGAATGACCACCTAGAGGCCTAATAAGACATGAATGACCACCTAGAGCCCTTGTAAAACATGAATGACCACCTAGAGTTCTAATAAGTCATGAATGACCCCCTAGAGGTGGGTTTGTGAGACCAATGTAACTGAGACTATTTGCTCCTGTTAACACATTTAATACCTACATTCCCCTTGGTTATTATTGAATATTGATTATACAATACTAAATTCCCTCTTTCAACTATTTAGAACAACTTACCGTGGTGGCAATTAACCTTTTTCTTTAAATAAACTGGTAACCCGTACATTGGAAGATTTTAGACTTTTTATTCTTAAAGGGATTGTAGTCGTAGTTTCATGTGACCCTTCATTCAAAGATGGCAATGTCCGATTCACAACGGTACCTTAAAAACTTTTTTTCAGGCAACTCACTTGACCCCTGGAAAGGTTAATGGATCCTCAGAATTTCAAAAAAACTAAAATTTATTTAATAAAATATTGAAAATCCACGAAAAAATATTATTAAATCTGCTAAATTTTTTGTTTTGTTTCATATTGTACAAAAAGAAGTTGCTCACAAATAGAGCCACAATAAAAAGTTGAAAAAGAAAATGGGCACCCTAAAAGCCTAGTATAGATAAATGATAAATATGTGTTGTCAGTTTTGGATTAACTGTAAAAAGTATTGGATAAATTATAAATAGATATTTTTTTTTTATTAAAGGGGGTGACTGTCAATTTAAGGTAGTTGAATTGAGAATGCGTTATTGTGGAGAATTATTTTAGGAATCATTTGAGACCTATGAGACGTTTTTACGGTGCATATTTGTTAAACAAGAGTGCAAACTAAATCTTTAAAATACTTTTAGATTGCTCATTTTTGAGGGATGATTTTGAGAATCAATTTTAAAAAAAATAATTAATGAAGACGACGAAAAGTGTAAAAAAAATTCTACAGTAAACAAATTAGTTGTTTTAGAACAGGTTGAGAAAATAAAAATTAACTACTGCAGTTAAACCCTAAATATAGAATACATCGGAAGAATTTATGAAATGTCGCCTTGAACACTTTTTAATGGGTTTTGCCGCTGAGAATTTTATAGCTAGAAGCATAGTATTCCTACAGGAGAATTGAATAGAAGGAGGGGGCGATACGGTTTCCATACACTTTGCTGTGACGTTTTTGGACTGCTGAAGAACTAGTTTTTGCGTAACAACAATAACTAAGACAGCCGATCTAATGTAAACAAATATGAGTTAATATACGGTGAATCTTCATCTAACGCCAGAAATGCCAGATGTTTGTTTATCATTTGTGTTATTGTTAACAATCTTTATTATTGTTGTTACGCAAAAACTAGTTCTTCAGCAGTCTAAAAACGTCACAGTAAAGTGTACGGAAACCTCCTTCTATTCAATTCTCCTTGGTATTCCTAAATCTCAGTAATTGTACTTAATGTACTAAGCTCTTTCGTATATTTTCTCAAGTTGTCATTCTATAAAGGAAGCTGCTCGAAGCTTAACAAAGGGATATATAATGTGAACTTTTTGTCTCTTTTTTGTAAAAATAAAAAAAAACCATGAAATATGCGGCAACTGTGGGGACATCTTTAAAGAGCTCCATATACAGGGTGTCCCCAAAAACATGGGAATTCAGTGACAAATTCGATATCGTCTTTGTTATGAATTAGCATTGTAATACCTAATTTCAAAAGCCATAATATTATTATGTCTGCTAGAATTTATTTTATGAAAAGGGTAAAAGACTGTAAAGATGTGTCTATAATGTCTCTGCAATATGAACAGTAAAGACGGATAAGTTTACTTATATTTGTATACTGTAATTTTCTTGTTTTACTAAGTACAACCGTATGCAGTCAAAACATAAACAAACAAAATGTGAACATAGCAGACGAAACTCTTACTGATTACAGCTTTCTCAGTAGGTATCACTATACGTAATCAAAGAATTATTTAAAAAGACGATATCGAATTCGTCACTGAATTTCCATGTTTATTGGGACACCCTGTAGATATTTAATAAAAAAAACTAAATATTTGCGGAATTCCATTATCGGGAGATTTAGAAAACGACATTTAATAAATTCTTCTGATGTATTCTATATTTAGGGTTCAACTGTATTATCATCGAAAAAAAGTAATCTTATTCCGTTATTGGTTTCTGTAATATCTCAATATTCACAATCATTTTCCTGAAGATTTCCGGAAATTTTTACTGAAAAGATGACATTTAAAGAATATGAAGAAATCTGCGAAAAAATTCATAAAGACTAAGAAATTCAATATAATGATGAAAAAGAAATAATTGTTTATAACATTGATTCATTGAGAAAATTTCGATTGAGAAATATATTCCTAAACATCTAATTAGTTTACTGAATAATTTTTTTACATTTTTTTCGTCACTATTTAATAATTTAAAAAAACGTAAACCCTCAAATGGATGATTTTTAACATCGACTTTGCGCTCAAACTCAGAAATTATATATCAATAAAACGTTTATTTGTCTTAAATGAATCCTAAATAAATTTCTCCCCAATACTACAGGGTGTCCCAAAAAACATGGGAATTCAGTGACGAATTCGATGTCGTCTTTTCAAATAATTCTTTGATTTAGTATAGTGATACCTACTGAGAAAGCTGTAATCTGATAATTTTATATATTTATGGCGTGAGAACCAAAAAGCTGTGGAATAGGAAGACGACATTAAATCAATATTTAAGCGAATAAGATACAAAACGCAAACAGACTAATAGTTTAGAAAACACTTATTAAATGAAATCATTAGTGTGTTGTTTCTGTGTTTGATGTTAATTGGAGATACCAGGCACGATATGAGACCAGTGTACATGTGTTAAATGTTCCTTTGTCATTTGTAAATTTACAATCTTTTAGTAAATTTATATTTCATACGTGAATAGATTGAAAAATAAACATGTATATTTTGTAAATTATTAACAGATAATTGTAAATGCATTAGTGTAAACTGCGATTATTTTTATGTTTTGTAAATTGTAAATTGTAAATGCCTAAGTATCATCAATATTTATTTTTGAGTCGGCAAAAATAATTTGTAAATTGTAAATTGTAAATGCATATTGCATATGTATCACCCATGTTTTTTTGAGTCGGCAAAAATAATTTGTAAATTGTAAATTCATATTCTAATGTAATTGGACTATTTGAATTTAAACCTTGTGTCTAAAAGTCGTCTTCCTTTTCCTTGGATTTCTGTTTCTCAAGTTCTCACTGAAGATATTTGGGTTTATTTGTATTTTTTAAAAATTTTAATTTTATTTTATTTATATACAAATTACATTTTTCCAACGAGGTTATAGCGTATAGAGTGTTGATGTACGCTAATCCTTTACTAACTGTATAGGCCAGAAACTATACTGAGAGCGTACTGCATATTTGTTTATTATAAGTTGATTCTGGCCTAACCTATAGTATATCAATATTAGTAAACTGTTTTAAGTGTACTGCAGTACAGCTAACTGAGCACACAGGTAGAGAACTATCATCCCACTGAATTTCATATCCATCCATAACTTTTTAACAATTTTCAAATCTTTTACTTTCTTTATAACTATATTTTTCTAAAGAATAAAGTTGTCTTACCTATCTTTTGCTTTTCCACGGACTAAATCAATCAATCAATAAATTCATATTTTGTAAGACGACATTTGTTTTCACCTTAGTAATGAAGCTCTTCTTACACTTTAATTATAACAAAATATAAAGGATTTTCGGGATTACAATTTGTGTGAGGGGTATAGGAAATGTTTTTCTCTTAACTAGAAAGCTTACAGTTTAACAATAAAAATGAATATTTATGAAGCGCTGCAGTTGTTCATTCCATAATTTTTTCAAATATACAGTGAAAACCGGAAAACTCTGGAATAGGAAGACGACTGTAAATGTTATGACTTTAAATAGTAATAGAAATGAACCCAATCATTGTGTTAAGTGTAATAAGACCAATTTAACATAATAAGGGATGTAGGAAGTTACTTGTACATTGCTTTGTAACAACATCATCAAATACACTTGCATTAATGCCGTTTTTCTATTCCACAGGTTTCTGGTTCTCACTGTATCATAAATTAATAGACTGTTTTTGTTGATTGAACCTGGTTTTTGTCTTTTCTGAGGCTTGGTCTCCATCTTTTTCTAACATTTTAAAGAAAAAAAAACATGTTTACGTCATTTTTTTTCTGATGTAAATATATGTAAAAAAAATGTAGAAACAACAAAAATAGGTTTACAATCTTTGATTATTGTGGATGTCAAGTCTATGAAACCACAAGAATGGGTTTACAATCTTTGATTATTGTGGATGTCAAGTCTATGAAACCACAAGAATGGGTTTACAATCTTTGATTATTGTGGATGTCAAGTCTATGAAACCACAAGAATGGGTTTACAATCTTTGATTATTGTGGATGTCAAGTCTATGAAACCACAAGAATGGGTTTACAATCTTTGATTATTGTGGATGTCAAGTCTATGAAACCACAAGAATGGGTTTACAATCTTTGATTATTGTGGATGTCAAGTCTATGAAACCACAAGAATGGGTTTACAATCTTTGATTATTGTGGATGTCAAGTCTATGAAACCACAAGAATGGGTTTACAATCTTTGATTATTGTGGATGTCAAGTCTATGAAACCACAAGAATGGGTTTACAATCTTTGATTATTGTGGATGTCAAGTCTATGAAACCACAAGAATGGGTTTACAATCTTTGATTATTGTGGATGTCAAGTCNTTGATAAATAGAAGATTTTAACATTTAATTTTAAAGGGTTTTCGGGCCAAAATATGAATTTTGTCTCAATAAGGTTCTCAAAATTAGGTAAAAGCAAAATGGCTTAATTTTGAAAATCAGCTTCCCAAAAGTGCTTAGAGCTAATAATAAGTCGAATCATAATAATTTTAGGCCAAGGCTTCATTTTTGACTTGAAGTATGGAAGTCTACTTTGATTTGTTATTGGATTCGATTGATAATTTCTGTCAACAACATGGTCAGTATAAATATAATTTATTCTATAAAGACAGATCGTTAACTAAGGCTGTCGTTAACGAATGTCAGGTTACTATTATGAAGGGTCGTCGTTAACAGTCGTTAAATCGACCTTCGTTAACTAAACGACCGAATAAAACTAAAAAACAACTTTTTTTTGTATTTTTAAAAACGATTTTTTTTCAAACGACCGTTTCGTTTTTTCTTTTTTTTTCTGGTTGTTAACAAATGAAAATATTGTTTTTTTTAATAAAAATAATGAAAACGTTTAAATTCCATCCCTCTATTCTCTAACGGGGCACACTTCAAATTGAAAAATAATTTAACAACCACATATCAAGTGAAGGCTTTGGAGACAGAATAAAAACGCCATGAGCTGGGATTTTTTGTATTAGATACCCATAATCCAGATCCCTTGATCTCGATATTCACTGTGTGCAATATGGAATTTTACTCAGAATCTGCTTAAGTTCTTGATTTTGGATATTCACAATTTTTCTGTTCGTTTTCCAGAGACGACACTGTTCACAGGATATTGAATTAAGATTTAATTAATCTGCAGATTAACAAAAGATTGAGGTCAAGGATTGATATATATATATATATATCCACAATACATGAGTTCCCAGCTCTGGTCAAATGCTATTACTCATAGATTTCCATTAAGAGCCGAGTTTGTCGCCTGCTCGGATTTCGACACTTAATCCGTTCTTTCAAAATTATCCAGCTGTTTAAAAACTTTGTGTTTTGCAATCTCGGAATCAAGAATTGATCTCCTTCTTATGCAGATCTACGGATAAGCTTAATCATTCTTATTATCCCGTGGTGGGCATACCCTGCAGGGATAACTTAAATTGCGGAATCCAGCATTAATTCTCAAATTTAAAAGTGCCCACAATGAATTTTGAGATCAAGCTGTCAAGGTTAACGAAATCCACAAAAAAGTTCTGATATCAGTTCAGTATTAAAACAACAATGAATGCAATGTTGTGGGATTAAAACTAATAGAGTGATGTCGAGATTTTTTCCAAGCCAATATAATATCCCAGGCAGGCCCGTAGCCAAGAATTTCCCAAGGGTGGTGGTAAGAGGGTTATTTTGGTATGGGACCCAGGATCACGTAGTGAGCAGAGCAGAGCGTAGACAACTTTTGTAATTTATAGTTTCAAACCTAGTGATTTTAGCTTGAATTTTATGTTTAATAGAACCTTTTTTGTAAATTTGTAGAAGCGTAGAAGCGAGCAAAAGTATTCAGTTGGGATAAAAAATGTGGGTTGAAAAATAATGAATAAAAAAAATAATGTTAAATGACTAGAGAGGGATATAAAATATTGAAACCTGCCTGCTGAGGTGACTGCAATCAGAAGCTCACTGTTGATACTTGAATAAAGTTATCAATGCACCTAGCGGGAAACTAAATTTTAACAAAGGCCCAGGGTTTCCTTTAGGGGAATATTAAACCATTCTTAAGAAAGAGTGTATTGAAGGGGGGGGGGGAGAATTGTATTTAAAATTGGCGATTTTCCCCACAGGAAATTTCAAATGAACTCCTGGACTGCAGATTAAATAAATTAATTGCAAAATCAAATTGTAAATCAGAAATTATCACCGTGAGTTTCAAATTTGTCAACCAAATATATTTATTTAGTATTTGTATTATTGCATTATTTTGTGTTCGTGAGATTTTAAAAAATTATCATTATTGAATATTAATATTTAAAATATTCCGTTGTTTAACTGACCATGTTGCAATTGACAGCTATAGCGCCATTTAAGAAAAATGTTGAAGAAATCCGTGTTTTAATTTATATAGCGCTGGTGCACGTTAGGACCTTTTCAACCCATTCTTTAATGGTGACTCGTGAATGTAAACCGGTCGGTAACGAAATTTTTCCAGGAAGCTGTTTTACAGCTAAAAAAAATTTTTCCGTTATTTCTAAAAGCTACCGTTCGTTAATAATATTAATATTATTAACGGCGTTAACCACAAAAACATCAAAGCGCATTAAAAACGCATTGAATTTAATTTTATATATAGGCGGCCGGGGGATCAACAGATCACGGTGTTTAAAAACATTAAAAACGTTTTAGTTTACCATTAATTTGTTCTTCAATAACTACTATTTCCGTTTGATGATTTAAAAATCTCCGGGTTTTGCCATTCGTTAACGGACTCTTCCGTTAATTCAAAAACCACTGTTTCGTTAACGGCGCTTTGTTTTCTCGCAAATTTTGAGAGCAAGAATTGATGAAACTGCCCCAGAGCACGTAAAACAAGGAGATTGGCTTATATGTGTTAAAAATTTCAAAATTTGGAGATTTATGTTAAAAAAGGTGAGATATCCCTTAGTTTTATTATAGTGGCCTGTCATATTGATCTGTTTGTTCCCTATTCCTTATAGATAAAGGGAGTGTACGCGTAATTTTAAATGACCCGCTTTGCAAAGATCGCAATGCCTGATTCACGACAGTACCCAATTGAAACCTTTATCTGATCAATTTACGATGGAAAATGTTGTCGTTTTTCTAGGTTTTTTGACTTTTCATAACAAGAAATGTAAAGGATTTTTTGTAACTTTTTTTTATGCATAAGGTAGGGTACAGGGCGATAAAAAACCGGAGTATGTAAAAAAATCTTAAGTAGCGGCCATAACTTTCTTATGACTAAAGCTACAGATCTGAATTAACTATGTTTTTGAAAAGCCCTTGAAAAAAAATGGGTGTAGAAACATGTGTCACACGTATTTTTATTGTTTATTTGTATTGTTTTAACCAAAAAATATTTTTTACATTTTTTAATAACTAATTAATAGGGAGGTCATGGTTGTGTACATCTGAGCTAAGCTTTACCTCTTCGTTTTATTACTCTATGCTATATAAATAAGGGAATAGTTTCCTTTAATCTCTATGCAGTATTGTGCGCGTTTTTATCCATAATTCACAAATAAGTCAATAGTTAGTATAGAGCTTTAGCCTTTTCCAGAGCCGTTCCTTCTATAAACTACATTGGTCGACAACTTGACGTATATTGATAACTGGTCGTCAAGTGTACGGAGAAATTATCTATCACATAAGAATTGGTGTCGTATCGTTTGCACTAATTTGATCGGACTAACGTACATTCGCACTAACGTTCATTCGGACTAACGTTTAGTGCGACTGAACAGCTAATTGTTCAATCAAACTAAAAACCATGTGGAAGGTTTTATGAGCACGTGGAGAACTATTTTTTTAATTCTAGCGGAATTCGGTTCATTTAATTAATTAGTTCCAGTGAACTTGTAGCATGGGAATGAACAAAAAATGTTCGATTGATTTAAATCTAAAATTTCCGGTAAAATCAATGTTAGTACTAAATGAACATATTTAGTGCAAATGAACAAAAAATGTTCAATCGAACTATAAAATCTAAAATTTTACCATTTGCTCATAAAATATTACTATAGTACAAATGTTAACATATTTTAGTGCAAATGAACAAAAAAAGGTTTAATCGAACTAATTTTTTTTGACATGATCATTTGCACTAACGTTCAATTGCACTAATATTTACAGAAAAAAAATTAGTGCGCTTGAACAAATATTTTTAGTATTCCAAATCAATTGCACTAATGATCTGCATTTGTACTAAAATATTCCTGGCTCGTAATAAAATATTCCTGCAGGCGGGAAAATTAACAGTACAAATCAATGAGATCAAATAAAACTTAGAACCGGGAAACAAGAAAAAAATTACTTAGTTGCATTCTTAATCTTTTTATGATAAAATTTTGTCGTAATCAATAAGGTCCCCCAAATTTAACCTAAAACTTTTTTTTCAACTCGGGGGGGGGGGGCATGCATTGCCTTTTGAAAGCCTAACATGAGTTAAACATGATTTAAACATGATTTAATCACAAATCAATTTTTATGTTATAGAAATGCGCCAAATTAAATAAAACAAATCTTGGAAAAATTATGATTTATATATACTGTTACCCATAAATCTACCTTTCAATCCTATCCCACGCAATGGTGTCTTTACCACCCCCCTCATCTCGAAGAAATCTAAACCAAGAATATTCTGGCATTACCTTTGTACTCTGACATAGGAAAACATTGAACAGTGAAACCTTTGACTAGTGAATAATTTTGCAGTTCATTGCA